GGGCGCCGGGATACCCGCTGGCTGGGGAGCTACGGTAGTACCGTGGCTCCCAGCAGGCCCGGCCGCTGCTGCCGGCTGCGTGCCTGACGGGAGCTGTAGTTCTGCGCGGATGCCCCTCTGGGCGCGGGGTGTTGTGGCAGGGAGCGCCGTGGTTTGCGCTGCGGTGGACAGGCCGAGCTGGCGCGGCAGAGCTGCCCCACGAGAAGAGTCGGTGTCACAGAATCGGTGATGCAATCAGCTAATGCCCTGGGTTGGAAGGGACCTTGAACATCCGCTTCGAACTCCGTGCCATGGAGACACCTTCCACTAGACCATACTGCTCGGAGCCCCATCCAGCCTAGCCCTGAGCATGTCCAGGAATGCTAGATCCACAGTTTCTAGGAGCAGCTTATTCCACTGTCTCACCACCCCCCCAGCAAAGAATGTCTTCCTCCTATCTTACCTAAACCTATTCTCTAATCAAAGCCTGTGACTCTAGTTGAAGACCATTCCACGTGTCCTAGCACTACATGCCCTGGTGCATGTTCCACTCCAGCTCTCTTGTAGGCCCCGCTGAAAAATAAGGTCACCCCTCAGATCACTGTTAGTCAGCATATCCCCTGCTTGCTGCTGTCAGGGTATGACACTTTAAAAAAACCAACCAAACAAATAAAATGCAGCTTCTTAACTGTGTATTTATTCTGGGAGGATGACAAACTTCTCCAGCGCCTGAGATTCAGAGATAAGGAAAAAGAGGCACACAGAAAAGAGGTGTATGGCAGAGGGCTCCCCAGCCTAGGCCCTGGCTGGGCTCCTGGCCCGCTGTGCCAGCAGTGCTGAGAGTTTTGCTCAGGTTGCACCTCTGTTATACCGCTCAGAGACATGGAGACCCCTCCCTCTGAGTGGTGCACTGCCCATCCCCTTCAGGGCCTGGCCATGTAGATGGCTGCAGTTTGCCTGATGCTAAGCACGTTGGTTGGTTAAGTTCCCTGGGGTAGCCTGCACCACCTGCACTTGCCAGCTCTCATATCCATCTCGTTTTCCTTGGTGGTCCCTTTGGTTTTGAAATATTTCTGTATCACTGTAAGTAAGGTATGAATCTAAGGATTCTAAACTGTGTAGTTCAGCAAATTGAATTCAAAAAGGATAAAATTCTGCTGCCCTACTCTCTGTTGACACTGTGACCACGGACTGTCCATGATGTGTGGTGCACTAGTCCCACCCCAGGCAGCAGAATGATTTGTACACCAAGTTTGGAAAGGCCCATGACAAGGACCATGAAGGGTCTTTCAGTGCTAGACCAGCAGAGGTCTGTGGGAAGGAAATGGCAGTGTAATACAGGTCAATTTCATGCTGAATAAAATATATTTGTTTATCCATTGAAACTGTTTCTATTAAAGTTAATGGAAAAATGTGCCATTTAATGGCTTTCTTTTTCTTCAGGTTTTATGAAGCGTTTCATTATCATGCTTCACTTGCTTAGAAAATAAGAGTTTTTATTTATGTGGCCAGTTACATTTTCCCAGGGATATGCAGAATGAGAATAAACAATCTAACTCAGTTCAATACTTGGTCCTTTCATGGTTAGAATAATTTTTTATAAGCCAAAACCTTAAAATATTAGAGTGTAACAGTGTAAGCTGTTATTGTGACTCTCTGTTACAAAGTCAGTAGTAGCAAATAAAAATCCTCTGGACACCTGTTTTTGTGACAGCAAAAGCTTGTCAAATAGTTTTATGCATGATGCTGTTTTAAAGCAGCTTGCAACACAGTGCAAGTAAAGTAAGCACCCAAAGTTAATTTTGATATTCTAGACTCAGTGACTGTTTTACCTCTGGTGTCTGTGCTACAGCAGAACCTAGGTGTCCCAAGTGTTACTACAATCCAGATAATACACTTGTCTTTATAAACTAAAAAAATAAGCTTTTTGTGTCTTCCTACTGCATTTGGAGCTTCCAGAATGATTCATTTTATAGCAGCAAGAACAGCACCTGTGGGGCAAGCAAGCTGTGCCACAAGTGAATTGTGGAAAACAAAAGAAAACAAGATAAATCCTTACAAAAGTACAAAGGAGGGAGCAGGAATTTTGTGCAGAACCTTCTTGTACCTTAGCTTAGTGGAGAGAAATAGTAGAGTAGCCTTTAGTCTTTCTTTTGCACATCCAATAACTAGATACTTCTTCAACTTTGTACAAACAAGCTCTGGAAAGCTCTGACATATTATTTGGGTTCTTTTGTCAGTGTTGTGAGTAACTGCAGTTTTTGCAGTCTGTTTTTTAGTGTCGTATCCCAATGGTCTAGCATCACACCATTGTAATTCATACATGCCAGGTTCCATACTATCAAATCATACAGTGTAACATAAAACTCAACCTTCCTCTTTTTTTCTTATGACAAGGAAGCGGTATCTGCTAACAGAAGAAGATATAAAGCTACAAGAATTTCAGCAGATGAAGGTGGCAATTAGAAATGAGTTTCATGGCAATAAAGGTGTACCATTGTTTTGCAGTCATTACTTTTGCATAAGTCTTAGGAAACAAAAAGTCAAAGCCATAATAATATGACCAATTGACCTGATTTAAAGAAAAAAATTATGTTTTCCTCTTGCAAATATTTTGTACTTAACATTATTGGAAGATCTGAGGCTTTGTAGAATGAAATGTAATATTAATTATGGTGTGTTGAGAGTACGTGTTGAGAAGCTTTCATGTATGTAAGGTGTTTACATAAGACCTGAAATGTTTGTGCCCTCACTTTTCCAACTTCGCTAGGTACTCTAATAGAAAAAATTGTTTCAGTCTACAAGTCTTCCGTCAAGTATAGTATCAGCACAGAAAGTTAACACAAAGCTAAATAGTTACCCTACGATCCAGAAAAGGGCTTTCACAGTAATGTATTTTTTAAAATTTGCTCCCTAAATTTTGTTAGCATATATTTTAGATTTTTTTTTGCTTGATGTGATTTCTCAGTTTTACACCCAATTCCAAATGATATATGTTACTCAGAATAGGAAAACCAAATTCATGTTTTCTAACTAAATGTAGGAGCAGGATCAGTGGATTTTTTCAAATTTTGTCATGCTATTTAAAATATATACAAATTATTTTCTTTAAGAAACATAAACATAAAGCTGCCCTTATTATTTAAGAAAAGCAAGGTAAAACTCCTGGTTTATCATGCATGTGTGTGCTAGTGATACAAATTGACAACTGTTCCAAAGGTTGTAGTTAATTTTAAGGCAAGAAGAGACAAATAATCAAATCTAGTTTAATATAAAGCACTTTTCTGGGACAGTGAGGGAAATAAAATCATCCTGATGTTTTTTTCTATATTAAGCAGAATTTAAATTGTGCAGTTGTAAGCCATAATATCATTATATTTTGCTGGGATAACGATATATTGTAGTTTATTTATCCTGTACTAGAGAAATGTTGAATTTACTGCTGGAGGACAATCATTCCTGCTAAAGCAGGTTTGTAGAAGCCAAATATTTTGCTCTATAGATGACAGTTGACCTTCTGGTTTTGTGCAAACTTTATCCTTTGAAAACTAATGAAAGCATTGTTCCAAGCCCCTATTTGTCTGTATGAGTGCATGGTTTCTGTACTGAATGTTTAATGTTATACTTTAAAGATGAAAAGAAGTAATTATGGCTAGCAATAAACTTGATTTAGAAAGTTTAGGGGAAAGCAGTAATAACCGTTATACAGAATATAAAATAGCTAATATTTATTGTTGTTATGAGACAAGAATTTACAATTATTTTAGTTACAATAGTTATACTGCTAGTTACAGCATACAGTTAGCTAGAATTATGTAAATACTGTTCAGATCCCAAATATTTTTTTAATTTCTGAAATTCTGAAATCTCTTTGAATGCATCACAGCCATTATATACGCATACTTGTACATATGCGTTCATCTGGCTTCACAGGCTTCAATTCTGCACCTCAGTCTTGAGTAAAGATTTGTATTTGCATGTTGCAACAGATTTGTATTAAGTAACTGTACACTGTTGTTCTTTGGGATGCCTACTTTGCATCTCTTGTGCAGGTTACTAGCTTGGGAAGAGCAGTGACCCAGCAACATTTCCCAGCCTAAGATGGTGGCAGCACCATGAGAGGAATGGAGCTGCCAGGTGGTATATATGATTTTAATCTTGTGCATATCTGAGTCAGAGGCTTGAAATTACCAACTGAAGGACTAGTCTCTGCGCTTGCTTTGTCATAGGAAAATGTGCTGGATAGAGAATCCTCTCTTCTGAAGCAGAAGGATAGCATCTCCATGTTTATGGCTATTTAAGAAAAAGGTAGATTATGTATGAAAATCTTTGTGTGTTCATCAGCTGTGAAGGAATTTGAGTCTTCTGTATGAGCAGTATAGAATAGAAGTTCTTATGGTCATTTGAATGCTGAGTGGAAATGGTTTTGTTTGCTTGCTTGCTTTTTAGGAAAAAAACATAAAATGTCATAAAACTTTGTTCCTTGTTAAAACTTGCATTTCCTGATAGGCCCCATAACATATGTAGTGAAATTAAGTTCACAGTAATCATCTCCTTGGTTTTCTAAGCCTGACATGGTAACATGTCAATTTCTAAGCCTTCATGGCAACACATTGGCATGCTTGTCTGTCAGAAGTTTTATGCAGTTTTCTTTGTGAAAAAAAGCAAGAGTTCTGCTTCATTGAGTCTTCATGTCTCAGGTACCAAGCATGTAACTCAGCGAATAGAATTGCCTATAGACTGCTGCTGTATGTGTTTTATTTTGAGATCAATATTTTAAAAACATTTAAAAAAAACCTAAGGAAAAATGGAATAATTCTCAGAAATTAATTTAAAAACTTGCTGCATTTATGTCAGACTTCATCTGAAGTGGAACTAGCCAGAAAAGTTATTTACAGGTATTTTTAACAATCCAGGTAATACTCTTTTTTGTCTTTATCTTTTTACTTTAATTAAATCATCCCAGGTTATATCTGCAGTTGAGGTCTTGTCCTGATTGAGTTGCAATATGCACAGTTAATACCTTAATTTAAGGCTCTATTTTTATTTAAATACTTTGGCTCTCCCAACCCTTTAGAGACTTTCAAGTCAAAGGAGAGTTAAGCTATGAGGGCAAAGTGGTGTCCTACGGTACAGTGAACCAGAGAGAAAAATTTTCCCACAGCTGTGAGGCAGAGGTGTTTTGGGACATTCCAGCCAAGACATGCCTGGTTATAAAGTAGCCTGCAACCAGTAGTCAATAACGGGAGGTTTTGTGAATGGAAACCTTCCCAGCAAATACAATATGGGACTATAGAGAAAAAAAATTAAATGCTTTATCTTTTTGTTGAGGTATTTTAGCAGGTGCTGCTGCTAAAATAAATGGCTGCAACTTCCTTTGTTGTTGTTCTGTGAACAGAAGATAAAATAGCTTGGGATTTTCAAGGCAGAGGCACATTCTAGTATTTATCCATTGAAGGTTACTTTATTGGTAATAAAAGAGATTACTTATTACCAGTTAACTTACTTGTTTGATCAAAACAATAATTTTCCTTAAAATTAATTTCATGTTATCTATATATCTTTGGCTGGTGCAGTCAGGAAAGTGTGCCTCTATCATTGCACCTACAGATCTTGCTGTAAAAAAAGCTTGGTAAATTCCCTGCCCTGTGTGATTAATTTCTAATCTTTCCCATAGATACCATGAACAGAATGGAGTCACAGCCTTACATAATTTTAAATTTGGACCACTCTTTATGAGGCTGTGTTATGAGCTAGACCTTGAAAGACCTGCAGTAGAACTTATCAAAGATCAGGTAATTCCCCTATATATATTAAAAATATTATTGTTCTTATTGTTAGTCAAATATGAGTAATGGTATGCTACACACGAGCCTTACATGAGCTGATAGACTTGAAGATGCGGTGCAGTAACAAGGATGTCTATGACATTAGTGTACACATGCAGATTACATGGTTTTTATTTTAATACAGTAATTAAAAGGAAATTAAATGTTAATTTGATTGGTGACTTTGTTTCTGTATGATTGCATCATTTGAATAAGAATTGAATAAAAAGTATTGATGAAAGAATAATTACTTAAACTGATACAGCTGATGCATGTTTTCCTGCATCCTATGTTGCATTGTATCATTCTTGGAAATGAGCACTTTTTTCTTTGTTAGTCCTCTGCAATACCTTGGATTACTTACACCAACAGATTTACCTGTTGCTCTGTACGTCAATATCTCCCTGAACCCTGTAGAGATGGTATGGTACTCATCAGCTCAGGAATTTGGCCATTTTAGTACTGAAGAAACTGAAGGACTTGTTTCTGAACATCTCTAAAATTCTGTGTGCACTTCAAAAATCTCTCACAGACAGTAAAAATCTTGCTGATATTAATTCATTAAGGCATGACATATATGTAGCCAGAAATGGTAGAAGTCTTGCTACTATTCTTAACTTAGGCATGTGTTAGAAAGAGTGTATGTTGTTTCTATATCAGTTTGAGGGGTTTTTTAATTGAGATCTGTATCATTAAGACAGGGGCTGCTGTACTTACAGTATATAGTAACTGGTGGATAGTACGGTACAGAAGGTACAGTAACACTTCTCCAGATTCTCCTTCGGAAGCTCAATACCTCTGATATTTTACTTGTCTATTCCCAACATACAGTGTGGTTGAAGTGAAACATAAAATTTAATTCCCCTCTCTTCTGCTACTCTTACCATCATCACTCAAGGTCTTGTGTTGATCGTTTGATATTGTGATTAGCAAAAAATCATTCAATTTCATGGTTTCGTTGACTTAGAGGTCACTAAGAAAAAATGGTAGTGGGACTCTCCAGGAAATTTCTGTTGAATTTTAGTGAGCTTTTGACCACAATGAGTCACTAGTATTTTAGATGTCATTTGACAGAGATAGACAGTCAGGGAATCCAGAGAGTTAAATGCTGAACTTGTAAAGATGAGACTTATTCCAGTAAGAAGACCTGCTAAATGCTGTTCACAGTAAGATTCTTCACTGTCCTGACTTTTCTTATACTTGCTCTATTTCCTCTCCAGAAATTGCATGTTTTTTTCTCAGTACATCATTCCATGTTTTGATGACTATGTTGTTGAAAAAGGGCCATTTTGAAAGCAAGTACTGTATTTGCTAAAACAAATTAATTTTGGGGAGGATGCTTCTCACTGTAAGTGGTGTGTGTGTGGGTGTGTGTGTGTGTGTGTGGGCGTGTGTGTATTTGCTGATGGGCTGTGGTTTTAGATGGCCAGACATCGTATAAATAACTGTAGATGTGAATGAGTTGCAGTGTAGTGTGTAATAAAAAATTGAAGGATCTATTTGTTTCATATTTCCCATAGAATTCTTGCCATCCAAGTTCCACAGAACGGTTGTTATCCCAGAGAGCCTTTCCCCAAACCCTCTTAACTAAAGTGTTACTTTTCTTTGCTTCATAATTTCCCATAGCATTTTTTCTTCTCAATTCAAAATCTGGTTTATGTGAGGTTTGGAATGTTAATTTCCTCAACAATTTTTTTCTCCATTCTGCATTTGTGTCAGAGCAAGGAAGAGTACCTTTTTTCCAAAACCACACTATATCCTTCTTTTGGTTTGTCTTACTTGTATCCTTACACAGAGTGGCTACTACAATGTCAAAGTCCACTGCTTCGTATCAGTTTGGCCCTTTGTGAAGACAAGGAGAAGTCATCTGACCTAACTTAAATGACTTTCATAAGAAAACCTTAAAGCTTTTCAAGCTAATCCCTTTATTTGATATCTGTTGAACTTGTCTGGTCTGTTAACATTTGGCAAATTTAAGTCCAGCAGTCGTACTAAAAGTTTAGACTGAGCCACTGCAAAAGAAACCTAGATCACCACCTAAATCCAGCATTGTGACCATGTGAATTAATGAGGAGATTGTATCTAGTTTGCCTACAGTGGTGGAAGCTTTCTGGGCAATTAGGAACAATGAGGGTGGCTTTTTCAAGTATATAGAATTTAGTTTTAGATTTTCATATAAAAATAATAGAAGAATAAGGCCATATGCTAGTGTGATCTGAAAACCTCCTTGCTAAGTTGAAAGTGATCCAAATGACCCTGCATTAAAAGTTTTGAATTTCTCAAATAACAGATTTTGGTTTGCATTCATATTTTCAAATAAACTTATTGAACTTACACATTATTGAATTGTTTCTTCTCTTCACTTATGAGAGGTATAGCCTTAAATTTATGTAGTGAGTAACGCCAATGTATTTTTGAAAGGTGCTTTGGAAGTTTTGGTAGAAATGAAAAAACAAGGTATACCTTTCAACAAAGAAACCTATCTACTTGCAGTTGCAATATGCTATAAATTGGTAAGTGTTACAAATGAAAAAGTGTTTGAAATGCCTTCTCTATCACTTCATTTTTTTTGGATTTTAAATTTTGGATTTTGTTTGGATTTCCATATTTTCCCTGTCATGATTTTGTATCTAGTGCAAGTATTTTAAACATATTTAAGTCCTAAGGTGCTTCACGGTACATATCGTGCACATACATTGTTTCCCATACAAACTATTGTCACAAAGCAAATCTCTAAAAAGTTGCATGGACATTAGCATTAAGGAACAAATTTAATACAGCCTTTGATTACCTTAGAATATTATTTCTCTGTGATGTTTGCATCTCTTCAAACAATACTATGTGCTTCAGCCTCAGTATTGGTTTTATACGCTCATTTCCTTAAGGCATATACATGATTTTGTTTGCAAAACATCCCATAAATTAGGGATTACATGGAATTGTAATCTATTCCCTACACATCTGATGAAGATGGACAGCTGAGCAGAGAAAAGAAACATAAATTAATGCCCTTAGGTAAACAGGCAGCTCCTTGAGCTTTATGTTTAACTCAAAGAAAATGAGCATGAGCATGGTAAGAAACTAAAATACAGTAGTTCTGTGAGTGTTTTCTTAGAACTGTTCCCTTTCCATAGCAAAGTAAGTTCAGGGAACTTTTTTATTTTTATCTTCCTCTCCAGATTTGAGTCAGTTCTGCAGCTTGAAATTTTAATATGAAACTTTCCTCAACTAATTTGGAAACTCTTCTTCCATTTCCTCATCTTTTATAAAGACACTAGCTGGGGAAAAAAATTATACCACTAGAGTAAACTTCCTCAGGCTTCTCAGTTAACCATACAACGAAACTGATTAGGTAGCTTCTTTCTTAAAATCTTTCCGTGTTTTTTTAACATGGCCTGCAGTCAGAACGCTGGGATCCAATGCATGTGCAACAGGAATAGGTTACCAAGGCTTCTTTTCCGTCTACATATGTTTTCAATCAAGAACTCAGCCCGTTATTACTATAGATAAAAAGAGAGGGAGAGATGATTCTGCACTGGTTGGGTTAAATAGTCACAATGAATTTGTGGGGCTTTTTCACTAAGATAAATATTATCAATGGGGGAATAAACTGTAGTAACCCTTTATGCACTAAAGAGGATTAGGTGGAGCTCTTTTAAAATCCTAATCTCTTTTAAAATCCTAATCTGTTGACTTGTCACTTAGGAGGAGGAGAAAACGCGAAGCTCAAACTTGCTTTTTCTCATGATACAAGTTAAGATATGTCAGAAAAAATGATTCATTTTTGAAATGAAGTATCTTCAAGATGCAGTACTCAAATAATAGAAATAACAGTACTGGTATCACTAAAAGCTTTGCTGGATTTTTACCGTTCTTGGTTTCATTTGAATAACCTCGCCAGAGACCAATACAGAAAAATGTACAGGGCTTAAAACTCAAGATATTTGCAGTGTATAAACAAAGGCATTAATGTTTAATCTTTGCATAGAGGTATTTTTGAGGTCAGCTCTGCTGTGGTGGCCCAGGTGGCAGGAGTGCCACGACCTCCCTGAAGAAGTATCCTGAGAAAGACAGCTCTCAGAGACACAGGAATGTCCCTCTCTTAGCCCAGTGAGTGGTGTCTAGCTGGGCAGCAGCTTCTCGCAGGCAACGCAGGGAAGAAAAGACTGGGTCTCTGGCCAGCAAATCCACAGAGAAACCAGAAGCACACCCCTCTGTGAAGCGAACCAGCACAACGACGCCCTGAAACTAGGAAAAAAATGGGGTTGATATAGGGAAGGTGAGGGGTGGGGAGAAACCAGTAGCCAATAGGATGCAAGACACAGGGGCGGAGAGTAAAGGGAAGAACCAATGGTGAACCAGAGATTAGCATTAGGTTGCAAAGGTCTCTGGGGGAGAAATTTTGCTCTCCATAACAACGGGGTCTGTGGATTATGTATGAGTTCTCCAAGGGAGAGGAGCATGCTTCAGCTTGACTGGTTCTTTGGTCTCCACTCAACTCTGAAACACTTCTGGAATGGTTTGAGTCACTGTAAGGCACTGCCATAAGGCATGGTAGCAAATGGTTTTTCTTTTAGTGCAGGAAAGAGCTGTAAGCCTTTTGATGACGGTGAAGTATTTATATAATAATAATCAATCTTCTGGTGGTGAAAATATTTCTAAATTTTTAAGGAACATATTTTAAACTGTATTTTGCAGGAATGACACTACGAATACTAGGAACAGAAATCAACACTAAATCTGAGGATTCTTATCTGTATTTGTAGTACCAATCATTACAAAACCTTCCTGCTGCCAGATTTTAGGTTTGACAGATGCTATTTTGTTTGGTGTCCAGTCAGTTCCACTCATAATTTCCAGTGTGAGCAGCATTGGTTTGGAGAGTTGCTGGTTTGAGAGGTAGCATACAGCTAAAATCACTGCCTTTTATTATTGCCTGTTGAAAATTCTGAACAATAATGGAAGCCTTCTGTGTTGGAAAAAGGCAAATGTCTAAGCTGTAATATTAGAATGTACACTTTAGAAATGTTTTTTAAGAGTTAATCATAAAGAGAGGATAAAAATGGCTGAATGTTCAAATTCACACATATACAGATTTCTTTAGTGGAATGATACTTAATAGTTCCAAGCTTAGAAAATGTTGATTTTCAGTAACTATCTAATATAGCTTTTAGAATAAAATAACAACAAAAATTAATCTTCCTTCCTGATTTAGAAATTATTTGAAAGTGCAAATGAAAATTTGTATTTGTTTAGTATACTAAACTATTTATGGGACTATTTCATCTGTTGCAGAAGCCCAAGTAGTTAGGGAAGGTGTAGTTGTTAAAATAATAGAAATTATTTTTACCCTTCTGTGACCTCTGTCACTGCGAGTATCATATTTTGATGCTGTGTTTCTAAAAAAGCAGAGAATCTGCTTGGTTGGGTTCAGATACATACTGACTTTGTGATTGTACAATATGTTGACTTCTGAATACTTTTTGAATATGGTTGCTGGTGCTTATAGTTCTCTGCTATTTCTATGCAGGGCAACCTGGAGTCTTCCAAAACTTTTGTGAGACTGCTTGAAGAAGCACAGCTTAAAGGGGACACGTCACTGAGAGCATACTGCTTTACAATGGCAACTGCTCTCAAGCAGGTACAGTCTCTGTTTTTGTTTCTGGCTTTGCCTGGGTCTCTGTAGAGAGAGATATGCTTTAGTTTTGTTGTAGAGAGATAGTGAAAGGAAGAAACCATAACTATGTAATAACTTCAAGTATTGGAACTTTCAGGCTCCTGAAGGAATAGGATTATAGACAGCACTCACAGAAATTGATATTGAAGTTTCTAAATCTAAACATACATCTTGAATCTAATGTACACATATTTTTTTACAGTAACATGTAGAATATTTAAAAATTACAGAGTTAGGCCAACATGTTAAGTGTCACCATGGATCTAGTCCTGCAGATACTGCTATTTAGTGGCAATTTCCTTGATATCGAATTAAAATTATAGTTTAAAGTATATGCACAATCATCTCTTTTAAATGTTTGTCTCGGGAAGCAGACTCAAAGGCTTTGATGTGTATTTCCTTATTGCTGGAGAGATGGACTTTTTCCACAACGTGTTTCTGCCCAGGAAAGTTTCAGGATGAGGATATATACCTCACATGCCTAAGGACTGATATGAAAAGGCTCTCAGACAGCACAAGGTGAAAAATGGAGCAGAAGAATAACTATTAGGGAATTCTGAAGTTTGGAATCAAGTTTGGATTTCTCTGCCATTTATTTGTGTATACAGGTTGAGTATGTCTTGAACCTTCTCTGCTCCATGTTGAAACAGAGGTTAGGGACACTGGAAGTGCTACAGATTTGGTTTTACGCACAAATTTAAATGAATGGAGTAGAATTGTTAAAAGTATCTATGCAGTCTGTGGGTTTTTTTGCTCTATCTCTGTGCATGGAGAGTCTGAAAAATAGCATCATTGAAGTAAAATGACATGATAAAATTATTGTTTTGTAAATGGAATAATGTTTCATATTACATTTAATTTTTTCTTACTTGCTGTAAATAAGATGTTTCTTGATCCCAAGTAACATTGCTTGGTCTAGTAAATGTCAGCCTATAAAAATTAATTGATGACATAGATACAGTACTGTAAATGTGTATGTCCAAAAGGTTAGATGAGCTGGGCAGGATAAATATACAGAGTAACATATGCTGCGCTTCATCACTCTGGCATGTGTTGAACTGAGCATGTGTGTAAACCTTCCATCTTTTAGATGATCTCATGCTTAATAGTGGGACATTTACATGTGATGGACACACAGTACTGAAGAGCCTGATGACATGGGAACTCTGGTATGGGGTATTCCTTTTGCAGGCTGGGTGCTGTTTGGTGTTTGTAGTCTTGGTAAAGGGATTCTAGATGCTGCTTTGTGATTTATTGAAAAGTTGTGAAGGACTCTTGTTTTTCTTTTATTGTGCATGTTTTTGGCACATGTATGACTACTTTTTTATTTTTTATGATTCCTTCCCAGAACAATATAGCACAAGCCAAGTTTTATTGATCCCAGATAATGAGAACAGAGAACAAACTATACAGTAATCTCAAAGTAAGTATGCTTGCCTTGTGTTAAAATCTTGCAGAGTATGCTGCACTGGCCAATTAACTCCCATGTGCAAAGTAACAGAAGACTAGTCTCTGGAACAGGCATGTGTTGTAGTATTGCTGAGCTTGTTTCTGAGCCAACAGACAGTTTCTGTCAGTTGGATGACTTACATTCTGAACTGGTAACAATCTCCACCTACTTTTAAAATCACTTTCTACCACAGGTGGGAATGTAAAGTAGACCAATCCTACATCTGTGAGCATGAACCCATGAACAATATCTAGTTATGATTTTTGCCTTCTAGAGCCAAAAGATTCTAAAAACCCAGCTCCAAGTAAATGCTCTGCCCACTTCAGGCCTCCTTCAGCCCTACAAACCATATCCACATGTGTACATAAACCAATTTTTTTTATTTAGTTATACAGTATACAATCTGAGAGAAAGTCTGCATGTGTCATATAAGTGACCTCTAAACTATGGTAAAAAACACTTTGTTCAAGAGCAGATAGTGTAGCTCCATCAGAGGAGCTCTACCTCAGACTTCACCCTTCCTGTCCAGGTCCCAGCTGGTAATAAATGCCAAACATTTGAGGAAATTGATAATTCCATCTCTTTTCTTGCATTGGATTGATTTTTCTCAGGGCACCATCTGGAGATGTATTTTGCCTTGCTTTGCTTCCTGTCTTCCTCTAACACTTTTGTAAAAATTTGCATTATGATATGTACTATTTGTGTGGTGCATTTTTATTTTATTTTTAAGGTCCTAGTGCAGCTCAGATCTGGTTTGCTAAAAGAGGTAATAAATTAGAGCATTAGAGGCAGCTGTGGAAGTAGATACTCCTCCCTTTGTGAAAAGAACAGAGTTTTCTGAGCAGGTGGTACGTATACAGTGATGAGAGAATGTTCATGGTACTGGGCTGAGCCATGATAGTGGTGGCTCAGCTACAGAACTGCAGGTACCTGTGTTTGCCCTGCTAGTAGTTTTGCCCTTTGTTGTAGTTTGGGTTCTGATGCATTCCAATGCCAAAACAGCTGGCTGGCTTCTTGTACTCTTGGACAAAACACTTAGCTGATAACTTCATTTTTTATTGTGGATCTTGCTTCTAGAAGCTCATATTTCATCTGAATGTAGATGACACTTTCCCTAGTGGCATTAAATTATTTAATCCCTTTCTTTCCCTGCTATTTTCATTTCATATGAAATGAGAATAAGGTTTCTGGTAACAGCAATATTATTAGGTTGGTAATATAGGAAAGACCTATGATGCTATATAGGGAAGTGTGATATGGGAAATAGTAGCTTTTGCTATTTAACTGTATTTTACTGTGAAAATGTTTTTTACAGTCTTGAACAGTAAGAAGGCTTTCTTCAGAGCACATATGTAGCCCCTCTTAGTTTGTCAGCATTGCTGCTGTTTTTCCTGAAGCTTATGTAGTATATTCATTTTGGATGTGCTTACAGTACAAGATATTTAGGACTGTGTTAATAATTAAATACTTAGCCTTTCACTGCTGCCTGTTAAACAAAATTAATAACTAATATGCAAAATAATAAATATGAGGAGAAGGGGAGGGCCAGCCTTTCCAAACATAGCCTATATATATTAACTGCTATCTTGAAAAATTCTTTAAGCAGCATTTCATTTTGTAAAGTCATTGCAATAAATGTTACATGCATTAGTGTTGTATTTTGACTGTTTGGGAAATTTTAGCTGCTAATAAAAAACTAAGATTTAGTCCTAACTGTCCCTTTTCACAAATGCTTATTGATAATAATATTTTGAAGGGATTTACTTAATACTTGAGCTCATAATCTTGTGTATGGCAAACAGACCTTCTCAGTCTTCTGTAATCTGAATTTTATGGATTTGTACTGTACTGTGCATTTACAAAGATACATAATAATAATTAGAATTGATCTGGAAAGTATATTCCAGGAAGCAATTGTGTTTCCTGGATTTAAATAGAAAATAATTGTGTTTGTCTGTACTAGGACTGAAAATAGGATTGTACAACTCTGAGGAAGTTTTAAATCTAATAAACTCCCTTTAGTAGATAACCAGTCCCTTTCCACCATTTTTGTGGTAATACATAATGTACTCTTCATAAAATCCTCATCTTATGAGTCATTGCCTTAGCCACCTATCTTACACTGTGTATTTTTTTACTGTGAGTTACTGCTTTTCTTCAGTCTGGTGGTAAAATGAGAGCTCCACTTGCTGAACTGCAACAATCTGTCATTTCCTCTTCCTTAGCTGGCTACAGTCAGGGAAAAGATGGAAGAGAACCTTTCTGTCAAATTAGGAAATATTTATACAAAACTACAGGCAGATAATCATGTTGGAAGACATGCTTTTCCAGATTCCTAGTTCAAAGAAGACCACTGCAAGCTTTTAAATCAGAAACAGTTGGGCTATCAGGGTGCTAATCCACTTTGGTCAAATCTGTTGTTTGAATAATCCAGTACTTGATGACAAGCTGAACTGCTGATGGCATCTGTTATAATCGAGGCTCAAATAATGTCTTTTCCCTTTTCACACAGTGAGCATTTTGAAGTTGTTTGTATAAAATTTCATTTTAAATACAGATCATATAACTACCATGTTTCAGTTTTGATTCTAAGAAAAAGCTGTGACAGCGGATATTTGTGCATTGTTCAGAAATGGGAGTGATAGAAAGGTTTGACTTTTTCCTTAGGCTCTTGTATCAGGATTTTCCTATGCTGAATATTCTGGAAGTGAATGGATGGAAGTGAGCAAAGTGGTATGAGTATCTGAGCTGACTTCTGTGGTTCAGGAGAAGAAAATGTGGTCTTCATCAGATGTAATGTTCTGACTGAAAGGATAGAGGCAGGCAGAAGTCCAGATAAAAGAGCATGGAAGTGCTTGAACTACTAATTCAAAGTCTGTAGATGCCAAGAGAATCAGAGGGAAGGCAAGCATCTTTTGTTCACTTTAATATCTTTTTCTTTTAAAGAAATATATTAGTATTTTTTTTCATATCAGCTGGGATCATGGGAATGCCGTGGGATTTAGCATGGTAACCAAGTGGTTGCTTTCTTGCTTGAAGGAGATTCCTGATCAAAAGTCACTCTCAGAGTGAGTGACTTCACAAATTGCTTCCTTCTAATTTTCTGGTATTAAGATTCCTAGGATAAGCCAATCTTGATGCAAGTAATAGGAAGTTTTTTAGAGCAATTATGATCACATTTTTAGCTATAATTACACCATCTGCATAGTTTACCCTATGTTTTGTTCAAAGAAAAAGTACAAAGAAGCTTCATTTTGTCCAGCTTTAATGACTCTGGATCAAATGTGCTTGACTCGAGCAATAAAACACTGTTTATGTCTGTGAGTCTTGTATACCCAAGAATCTGAACCCACTCACCATCCAGAGTAGAAGGAATTGGAAACACATACCTTGGCTAGCATTCCTGTTCCTTTGGATGCCTTTGCATGTGAAATGATGAACATGGTGGTAAGAGAACTCGGCAATCTTTTAAGCACAAGACTAGGTGGAACTCAGCTTGGTACTTGCCAAGTTGGGCTGCATTATCTCTCCTCTCCCTTCTGCTTATTTATTTTGTCTCTGCACCCTCTGTCTGACTCTGTCAAGCAGATGACAGAACTCAGAGTATATTTTCTGTGAATAAATATCTGCATCAATATCACTGAAACCAGTGAGACGCCAAAGAAACAAGAACCCAACCATGCTTCAAAACAGATGAGGCTACAGCCAGCAGGATATTTCCTTCTGAGGCTCTAACTCTAACTTATGTCTTTTGTCACAGTGTGTTCTGTTAATATTTAAAATGTACAAAAACTATTACAAAGTAGATGGAATTTCATGCAAGTGAAGAATAATTTGAAGTGTGTATCACACTTCTGTGAATCCTGTGTACCCTTTTTATGATTGGTGGCATAGACTAAAGCACTACATACATTAATCTAAGAACATAGCTATTACCTTTTCTGTAATATAGTCTAGTATGTAATTCCAATTTCCCTTCATTGAAAATTCTTTCAACATTTCCAGTACTATGTGAACAACTGAGAAGTTCCCAATCTCTTCTCCACAAATAAATTTGACATGAGATTTGTAAAGGCTGCTTGCAGCGTGGCAAGGATTAGTGGCAAAATTACAATTCAGTTTACTCTGTTTGTATGAACAGGAAAACCATCTGGTCTCATCCGGTACGACTGGGAAAACTATTTGGTGTTAAAAGTGTATACATACTACATTTTTAAAGGCCATCAAAGACAGTTTGACCCATTTAGCCTTGCGTAGCAAATACATAAACTCACTTCTGTTTGATTTCCTTTCACGGCACTTTAAAACTTGTTTTATTTGCCAGAAGTTGTTGCATTCTCCAACTGTGCATGTGTGCTTGCATGCATTCTAATCAGAATTGTTTAGGTCCCTAACTAAGGCTGTATCCTACCTGAAACTGAAGTAGTCATGACTTCTATTAAAATTGTCAAAGTACTTGATGTTTGCCATTCTTTTTTTCTCTTGACTACTTGTTTTCTTGATGCTTGTTTACTCAAAAGTATTAAGTTGATTTTTTTTTAAGAAATAAGATCTTTGTCTAGAGAAAGAAAGGAGATGCACTTAACTAATAGTACTTACATAGAAGTGGAAAGCAGGGGCTTAAGATTAAAGGGTAGGTTCAAAGAAACACACACAAAATTCAGACAATTAAAATTAGAATATTAACTCTTGCTTATAAGTGTTGTAGAAGACTGCTAACATTTTCCCTTAGGAAGAAAAGCTGGGAGAAATAAGCAAGTTCTGATATTTACACAGCTAATTTCCAACTAAGTCTAATTTGTGTCATGTAAGTCCCAGAGGCTGTTATTTGGGTAATCTTGGATTTGGGTGATTGTATATGGTTTCAGAGAATAGGATATGCGCTGTTACTGCCATTGATACTCAGTTTTTATCAATGATGAACCTTGAACTCAAAAAAGAAGTCAACATTCTTAAGATCAATTAATGTTTTCTAAGAATCTGGACTAAACCAAAGGCATTTACATTTCAAAGTGAATTGCTGCATTTTTTCTCTAAGTTTTACAGCAAGAGATTCTGTAGGAAGTGCTGCTTAAAATTTTATGTGTTGTAAGTAGCTATGGTGAGGATTTGAGAACTCTTTGGGGTATTCTTGTGTGGGAAAGGATTGCTCTTTATCATACTCAAATGTTCTTCCTCCGGTAAAATGAAGCATGAGTTTTGTGCATCTCCTTGCATTGCAGCAGGCTTTTGAAAGAGTGATCCAGGAGACAGCAGGTGGCGTTTCTTCACTATACTCTCCGGCCAACATTATTTCCTGGCATGGCCTGCAGTGTCACTTATGTAAAGGCAGGGCAGAATTAATGGTTTGCCCTTTGTTTAATGTGTCCCATCTTAGAATGGAAAATCCAGGCAACTGAAAGCTGTCTCAAATTGTTAGTAAGGGTTGGCAATGACTGCAAACCTAGAGATATACAGCGCTTACTTTGAAATTTACAGCATTTTTTGAAACACCATCTTTGTCAATGATCACCATACAGTGTTTACAGTATTCTGTGGAAATCCTAATCAGTGACCTAGATGACATGCTGTTGATGTTGCTTCTTGTACACAGATGACAATTATAAATTCTTACATTGCTATGCCTTTAAGAGAAAGTTGGGCCCCTTTTCTGACTTAAATTTTAAAAGCATTAATTTCTATGTTCAGAGAGGGTCTGTATTGTGTTCAATCTTCAAAGGACTGACATTCCTCTGCTCTAGATGCTTCTGCTTTTCTCCATGAATTAATACTTCTCTTTTTTTGATATTTCTGTCTACATCTTGAGTCTTGTGAGTAATGTTCACCTTTTTTTGTGCCTCTCTCAAGTTAATTTTCTTCTTCAGCACAATAAAAAAGGAAGGTGAAAGGCTTAGTCATTGCAGGAGAGCTCAGGAATGCTTTCAGGCCTCAAGAAGAGAATTCATATATTTGATGAACCTTCTAAACAAGTTCAAATAATATGAAACAAAGATTTGTTAGAAGTTTGCAGCAGTATAGAAAGGAGGCAAATCTACCACACATAGGTCTAAGGATATACAACTTTGTTTTTCTTTTGTACTTTTTTTCAAGGTTGCTTCAGGTTTGCATCCTTCTAAAAATTTTTGATTGTGAAAGAGACTTGTTTTTAAACTACATCTGTTGTGGCTCCTTTCATGTCCTTCTACTGTCACACTCTCCTTAGAAGAAGTCTTTAAAAGATGTCATTCACCACCTTCATCTTCTGTTTCTTTTAACTTGCTGCTTATGAACAACATTTTGAACTCAACAAATGTCTAGCTGCCTACTCACAGACTCCTTTTTAGGTAGTTTCATTTTTATCTGAATGATAAATTTAAACAGCAACGTGAACTAGGGACACTTAAAACTGCTGTTGGTACTACTGGTCCCATGTTTTCTAATGTGAAATAAAGTGCTATTTCCTTACCTATCTTTGCTTGTGCTATTGAAGATACCTGGCTGGAGACCTTCAGGGGCTTTTGTTGTGTCTTTATGCAGTTGTCTGGATTTCCTAATGATTCCACCAGCATGTGCAGTAAAAGCTGAGATAGTCTGACTTCAACTCCCCAAGCAGAGATGCTGTTTTTTCCAAGTACAGATGCTCTAGTTACAAACTCTTGTGTATAGTGCCCTTGTGTACCATCAAGTAAAGTCAGCTTCGAAGTTCTTGTGCCAAGCAGCAGCTCAAAATAAATGCAGGAGCACTGATGTTAGAAGAAAGTTGAGTTAGGGACCATGTGCACAGATCAGATGTATGGGATCAAACTCAGCTGGGCCTGAACCGTGTGTCTGCATGAAGGGTAAAAGCCCTCTGTTAGTTAAAGGAGACTCCTTCCTCCTTTAGGAAGGAGATGAAGGCAGTAATCCAGGAGCCAGTCTGGAATGTGTGAAGGTTTGTTTATTCTTTTCATTTTTACCCTTTGCTGATCTTCCACGTGGGCATCTGCAATGCTTCTGAGAGCAACCTGGAGTGCATTAAGGATGGCTGCAATTGAGAGGAGGGTAAAGGGCAAGTGGAACAGATGATGTCTGTCCAATGCCGACCAGGAGAGAGGGAAAAGTGTAAGTGGACTGAGTGTGACAGAGTGCCAAAGCTTGGCTGCATGGCTGGTCTCACAGATGGCCCTTTGGCTTCTGTGACCACAGTCATAGTGAGAACTGGTGGGTGGGTTGGGGTGTGCTTGACAAAGAGGGTGCTTAGGAAGCATTGCAAACAAGCTTTCTATCCTAGTGAGGATGTCTTTGCATGAGGTATGCCAGGAAGGGTTACCACAACATAGGGAGAACCAAAGGCACAAGAGAGAAAGTGCAGCTAAATGTGGCAAACAGCATGGCAGGGAAGGTTTTATCACTTCCCTGTAAAAGCAGTGCAATTTGGGACCCATCTCGAATGCTTGTACACAAATCTGAGAGCATAA